AACTGCAGCGAATAGTCTTTTTTTTATAGTGTTCAGCACCCATTCTGATACCCCGGGAAACTGTGCCCACGCGTTTGCATGAATAGCTAGGGGTAGAATAAGATCTGGGCTCTGGTCGTGACATAGTGGCGACAAGGGAGCTCTGGTGTGCTGTAACGCAAACACTGTGCTTGTAGTGACTGAGGCGGGGGGCACGCCGATCGCGGCGGGCAGCCTGGCCGCGCTCGATACCCTTATAGCAGTTTGCTGAGAGAGAGCGAGCGGGGGGAGCCCCGTGGGGCTTAAAGGTCCCGTTCTTCGCGATTCCATTTTTCAAACTTTAATTAGTGTGTTATGTTGCTGTTAGAGCATAAATAATACCTGTAAAATGATAAAGCTCAAAGTTCAATGCCTAGCGAGATATTTTATTTAACAGAAGTCCCCTTTCAAAGCATACAGCGAACGGTCGGTTTGGACTACATCCCTCTACTTCCTTTTTTAATGACGTAACTAGAACAGTTTTTTTTACTAATCTCCGCCCACAGGAATACACAAAAAAGGGGGCGTGGTCTTGTTGCGCTCCCACGGAGAAGAAGCACTTCAGCTGCGCATGCATCTCCAATTTATGGTAAGAGGCGTGACCTTTCCGGGCAACGTGCGATAAGCTGCTGTCGAATCACAACACAGGAACCGCTGGCACAATCAGAACTCGTTACGTATTTCTGAAGGAGGGACTTCATAGAACAAGGAAGTCATCAGGCCGTTTTTTGGACAGTGAAAACTGCGGTATACAGATAAGTAAATTGTGTGAAAAATACTGTGTTTTTTTTACACGCGAAACATGAACATGTTATATTGCACACTGTAAACACAATCAAAGCTTCAAAAAAACATGAAGAACGGGACCTTTAACATGTCTGTGCGTGAATGTGGGCGCGGGACAGCGGGCACATTTACTGCACTGAAAACACCGTCGGCCTGAGCTGACTGTATGTGTGTTGGTTTCGTTTTTACAGAAACCGTGGGACATGCGGTGTGTAGTGTTTGTGGGCACTGAGTCGTGGGCACATTCACTATATTTAATGCACAATCGACATGAGCCGAATTCATTTGTGCGAGCCCTGTATTGTGGCGGGCTGTGTCTGTGAATGAAATGAACACTGGGTTATGGGCATTTTTATTACACTCATAACACCATCGGCCATGGCCGGAAAATTACACCAGAAATTACACTCTTTATGTGATTCATCTGGGTCGCCGTAAAAACGGCATTTGTGTGCAGGCAAGCGGGCCGTGGTACCGACTTGTTTACTGCAAAATACACTGGAACAGTTGCATTTCCTGGAACTGAACCAGCGAAAAGTTTTGGAGAAAGTCTGCTGGGCTAGGAAGACTTGAGCCTCGGGCTTGATCTCAATCTTGGGCCGGGGCCCGCACGGCGGGGGGTGGTGGCCAGCAGAGCGAGAGCGTGGTCTCTGTTCCCGGGCCTGGCGGCGCTGTGAAGCGGCGGCGGGCTGCGGCTGCGGCTGGGAGCTTCGAGCAGACGGCTGTTTAGGGCGGCCTGCAGCGGAGCTAGAGCGCTTCGGGAGGAAGTGCTTCAGAGCCTGTGACGTCTTTTGAACCTCGATGAATCTTTCCGCGAAATCTTTGACGGAAGATCCGAAGAGGCCAGTCGGGGAGATGGGCGCCTCGAGGAACACAGGGCGCTCCGAGTCCGGCATCTGCGACAGCGTCAGCCATAGATGTCTCTCAACCACGGTGAGAGAAGCCATGGTCCGCCCAATGGCCTGTGCAGCAGATTTCGTGGCGCAAGGAGCCAGGTCTGTAGCGCTCCGTAAATCCGGCACGTTGATAGCTTCCGGGCCTTCCTCGTTCAGTTTTCGGAGAAGGTCGGCCTGGAGTATCTGCAGTATGGCCATCGAGTGAAGTGCCGACACAGCCTGCCCAGCGGCAGAGTGCATGGCTGAAGTGGTGCGGCAAGCCTTAGATGGCAGCGCCGTCTTAGCTCGCCGTCCAGCAGAGGGCGGGCAAAGATGGGCCGCTACGGCTTCTTCCACAGGAGGAAACGAGTGTTAACCTCTGTCTTTCGCACCGTCCACCACGGAGAATGCTGCAGAGACAGAGGAACGCACTCGGGCTGAGAAGGGGGCGTTCCAGGACTTCGCGACTTCTTCGTGAAGCTCAGGAAGAAAATGCGCGGGTCTGGAAGGCGGTGGGGCACGGTCCCTTTGAAGGAAGCACCCATCCAGTCGGTTGCGCGCAGGCTGCGCGGGCGCCTCCCACTCGAGGCCGAGGCTCGCCACGGCCTGCGAGAGTAGACGCATCAGTTCCGACTCGATGCTGGCTCGTTTCCCTGACGATTCACGGGCAGAAGGGGGAGGTCCACAGAGCTTGCCCAATCCTCACTGTCCGACGCCAGTAAAGAGCAGCTGGCCTCCTCCGCAGATTACAGCTGGCTCGTCGTCATCGATGACGGAAGCGGCGGCAGACGGCGGCCGTTGTCCGTTGGTGAGCGACCCGAGCGAAGCTGGCGGGCTACCGGCGAGCTTTCGCGGGCTAGAGAAGGCTCAGAGACCCGTTGAGTACGGCGCTTTTTGCGGCGCGGTACTGTAGCGGGTGGAAGTGCAGACTCGGAGAAGGATGCCAGGCGAGTCCTCAGAGTCACCATAGGCAATAGCTCGCAGTGAGGGCAGTCGCTGTCGGCGAGCACGAGAGCTGCATGATCCTCTCCCAGGCAGGAAACACAAATCACATGGCGGTCCCCGTCGCTGAGTGGGGCTCGGCACGAGCCACAGGAGGATGGCATCTTTAAAAAGACGCAAGCTCTTTTAGAGAGTAAAAAGTGTGAGTCGCAGTGGCGAACACACACTTATGCAGAGTGTAAAGGATATAGACGCCGGATAGCGTAGCAGGAACGGCGACTGAAGGCGGCGAGATGATGGCCAGCGGCTTCAGGTGCAGAGGCTCGTCCCGCAGAAGGCTTTTTCGACGCCGCGGCTTCTCACTCTGGATCCAGCGATGCGTAAGCTTCGCTGAAGAGATGAAAAATCAGTGATATCAGCCCATCAAGCTATATTTATAGGGCTAGGCCACGCCTGCTTCGGCGGGAAGGTGACCCCCATTGGACCGTCACCAAAGGGCCTCTCTCGATAGGCTGCTGCAGTTGCCGCAGGTCAGCCAATAGGCACGCGAGCCGCCTTGCCTATGTCTGCATGCTGCCGCAACGCGTTTTACATTAATTCAAAATTAAGGATAATTTTTGGCTTCAATATCTCGAGGAAAAGAGGTTTTCCCCTAGCGTAAGATATTACGCAGTATGAGAGAACCTCTCGTAAGAGAACCAGTTATAACGCAATGGCAAAAGTTCGAGCAAAGCATCAACTGTTCTGCCGTTGCTGCACAGATGAGCACAGAACACTATTGGACCAAAAAATGTCACAGGTGTCTTATAAATCTCTCAGGGAACTGTGTCAACTTGTGTGAAAGTTAAACTTGATGGTACATGCAAGTCGATGAGATGAATCCATGTAACTCCACAACAACTACATTATCCACTAACCATTCAGAAACGTCCAGGTGCAGTCTAAAAGTTGCAACCTCTTCATGAGTCTCTCTGTAAGGCTTCACTCTGCTACTGTTGGTTATTTCTGAGATTTTGGATGAGTGAGATTTGCGTGTTTTTGTTATTGTATCCGAAGCTTGTGTAAAGGATCGACCCTCTTCTGAACGGAGGCGGGAGCAGCAGCTCATTTGCATTTAAAGGGACACACAAAAAGGCGCGTTTTTGCTCACACCCAAAAAGGGGCAACTTTGACAAGCTATAATAAATGATCTGTGGTATTTTGAGCTGAAAATTCACAGACACATTGTGGGGACACCAAAGATTTATATTACATCTTGTGAAAAGGGGCATAATATGTCACCTTTAAAGCTGATAAATAATGGATTATTTCCTTCAGCTGAGACACTTCAGATGCGCAATATTCGCCATGATGGTTTTGAATTGCTTAAAATATGATTGGAATCACTTGCTACAGAAAATACATTGAAGTGTAACATGTGCAGCACAAGTCTGTCATATAGGCAACATAAAATTATAATGAGAACATTATAATTGTGTTTGGGATGTGGCTTTTAATGGTGAGACTTTTGTTTTTGTAATCAGGCTCTCAAAAAGTTATATAAAAATTTTGATTTAGATTTATCGTTTTGTTTATATATACAGTATATATTGGTTATCAGCTTTCAAATATAAAGAGTTTTCCGTATCGGCCAAAATTTTCATATCGGTAATTGTTATCGGTATTCATATCCCTAATCTCACTCATTGTCAACATTTAATTCACAGTGATTTTTACTGCTTAAAGTAAATTGACTACAATATAAAATTACTAAATCAATTTTTTTTTCTTTATGGGGTCTTCTGGAGGAGCTTAACCGACCCCTCAGCTCTACAATCGAGCAAGGAGCAGTTATGGTTTTTCAGAAGTAATCATCCCTTAATATTTGCCTAAATTATGTTCATTAAGAAATCACATTTTTTATCACCTTACTCTGGAAACAACAACAGAGAGAGAGAAGATTTCTGTGGATAAAAAACAAATCTAATTACCCACACTTCGCATGCTAGAAAAAAAAATACTTTTGTGCAACTCTTCATGACTCAGGGCAATAGAACTGCCTGTTTCAAAACAATCTGCAAAACACGTGACCATGCTGTAATTATGCCTTAATAAAGTCATTCATTTCATCCTTTCAAAGCATAACATGTTTGGGTGTGTGTGTGTGTGAGAGAGCGAGATCTAGAGCGATTTTAACCCATACTGTTCAGTATCACCAATAAATCAGTTTAATCTGCCCTTGAGGAGACCAACAGTTTGTTAAATTAACAAATAAATTCATATAATCCTCCAAAGTCCGATGAAAATTACATTGCAATAGATATAGTGATAATATCAGACCTAACAGATAATGAGAAGGTTTTATTTTAGTTTTATGCTCAATCAGAGCTTCCATCTGACCTTGCAGTAGTATGTGGACATCATCGATGTCTAGTGGGAGCGAGCCACGTTCAACGGGCGGGTCTCCGGATGTCCTCTGTGATGTCATGGTTCCCACGGAGACGGTTCAGCTGAGAACCACCTGAGGGATTGCAGCATCTGTCGAGGGGTCAGATGATGTCATATCAGTCCAGGTTCATTTTAACATTCCTTTGACACAGAGTTGAATTCAAATTTCTGTTACGCATTTCTTTTTTTGGCTGTAACTTTTATGAAGGGTTTGTTTTGTAATTTAAGGAAACATTTCTATAAAATATACACTAATCTTACAGAACTATGGTCTGTTCAAGCTGATAATTTACCTGATAAATAACCTACAAAAATATTATGAAAATGGCAATTCCATGATGCTGGTTATTTGAGCTGGAATCTTCTGGCCAAAAATGATACGTCAATTAAAAAAAAAAAATCAATAAATGGTGTACTAATTTAAAGCAATATTCTCAATATACTTTATAATGTTTAATTTGAAACATTTTGATTAGAAACAAGGAAAAACTTTGGATGTTTTTTTCATATTACTGGTCATAGGAACAGAAATGAGTTCCTTAGTTTAATATTTTATCCATTATATTATGACATATATGATGAGGAAATTGTGCACTCGTAATCTTTAATCATAATAACTTCTCCTTCCTCTTGCATCTCTTCTGTGATGACATGTTTACTGGTGCGAGGTCAGAGCCAACGATTTAATCAATTCCTGATGAAAAAAAATAAAGTCCCACCCTATATTTTTTCTTGTTCAAGAAGCCGTTTCACTCAGATGTGTCACAATAATGAAGAAAAGATTATCACAACTTCCCTTTCATGATGTCTTTAAATTCCTGCAGGTAGACAAAAAAGTCAGCAGTTGTGCCTTCTAAGGATCCAAAACTGCCAATTTTTTCAGAATGGGTGGGGAATTATTCAATTATTATCCGTTTTGATTAATTGTTTTTGTATTGTCTCAAAGACAACTTCCTTAAATAAACAAAGTCATAAAATGTCATTGCATGTCCTTGCAGCACAACGTGACTCTGTTAGAGTAGTACTGAGGGGTGTGCTATCCCGAGATGGAATCCCAGGAACAAGCACAGAGAGAGAGAGAGAGAGAGAGAGAGAGAGAGAGAGAGAGAGAGAGAGAGAGAGAGAGAGAGAGAGAGAGAGAGAGAGAGAGAGAGAGAGAGAGAGAGAGAGAGAGAGACTGCACATACTGGCATAATGATGTGGAATGAAAACACACAGCATGCACTAACACGAACCGGACACATTCCCAAAGATAAAACATTATAGTGTGCTGGGATCACAGTCAAATCACACTAAATATGACATGGAAGTTACATGGAAACTTCATCCACACGGACTGACCACCACAGCATCTGAAGCATTTCACACGTACACAACATTACCCCAGGGCCCAGGCCCATCACCTATGCAAAGCAGAGAAATCTTCTATGAAAACATGTCACTGCCTTTGAACAAAACAGTTTGATAAATGTCTTTGTTTAAACAAAATTATAGTGGACAAACATAGATGTTTACATGCTGGGTGAATTATGCCTTTAAATTGTAGCTAAATGAAGCTCTTTTCCAAATAGTGATAGAACTGCTACAGCTGATTTGTGTAAACTACTACTTTAAACCAATGCCCAAATAGGGCATTCTAAAACATGTTTGATCTACTTTTTATATTTATGAGAGAAAACATTGCCAAAACAACCAAAACAACAAAAAACAGTGCTCATCCATAGAAGCTGTAAGTGACTTTACGTATAGGCTAACCAAGCTTTCCTCCCAGCTGGTTTGCATCTTCACATCTGTAGGCCTACCCAAAATTGAACAAGTCAATGGCAATATAAAAATGACATATGACAATGACAGAAACGTTCTGTTCCGCACACGGTCCAGAATAACCAGCGTGACCTCTGACACACAGATGCTTGACTCGCGAGAGGGGCGTCGCGCGCTCCACGGGCACCAAAATAGCGAACGCGCGGCCACGTCGGTATTACAAAGAGCTCAATATCAACTATCAAACACATATTCAATTCTATTGCATGACTTATTTAGTCATTTCAGTCCCGAAATTAATATTTTAAACTAAAACTAGCTACTTATACAGCTAGGCCTATTATTATTAGGCTATAAGTTATATTATAAAAGTGGCATTAGTAGCCTAATTATTTGTTTTACAGTAACGTTAGGCTATTTTTTAACAAAACGTTTTAAACAATAAAAACAAAACAAATAACAACAACAAAGATAGGTCTAGTTAATAGGCTACATTAAAAATAAATATGTTGTGATTACAATTATTTTGTGCGTTATTCAATGACCTTAGAGCTGTCATGGGTCTGTTGAACTCGGGTTCTACTCACATGTTTGGCAAAGTATGAAAAACTCTCTTCAAATGTCCACTTACACATCCAGTGTTGAATGTTTTCCGTCGTCAACTACAATAACGACAAATATAAATCGTTAGGTAGGACATATTACTTCGTGTAGCGAAGAGTGAAGTTATAGATTCCCTCCCGTTCGCAGCTGAGCTAACCGGGAGAAGCAGCCGGGCGGCGGAGAGAGAGTGTGTGTGTGTCTGTGTGTGAGTGAAACCGGACGCGCCCGCGGGGGTCTCTAATTATAACAACCACTCAGGGCAGCGAATAGACACAGAACATACTACTGCATATCCTCTGTGCAGATCAATATCCCACGGTGAGAGCATTTGGGCAGGTCACCCGCCAAATTAATGCTTTAGCCACGCCAAATAAGTCAAAACATAGTTTCTTAGTGGTCTTCTTAGTAAAGTTACAGCAAGTTTCATAAGCTAGCTACAAGCATAGGTTTTAAATGGGCTTTAAAATTTCATTATTGAGAAATTATGTAATACATGGCTCAAAGTAGTCACAGCGCGTAGGCCTATTTTTCACCAGTTGCTAAACAGACACTATAAAAGTAGGCCTACGTCTCTTTCCATTGACATCAGTTTCAGGAGAACTATAGGTCACACATCCTTAATAATTACAATAATTAATACCAATAATAACACTGTGTAGAAGAAACTGATGCAGCAGCAGAACTAAAGGAAATGTTGCGAGACAGACAGCATGATCACAAGGTTCAAGTGATTAGCTCATATCGAGTCTCTGAAGTTAACCAGAAACTTTTCAAATTGACCACTAGACGTCACTGTGGCGTCATTTTAGAAAAGTTTGTTTAACGTTACTTGAAGATAGTCTCAGTTTAATGCAGAGAAAAACGTGTTTACTCTATAATAGGTACTTTGTAGCCTATTTTTCAGGTACACTGTAAAAAGTGATATGATCAATAAGTTAAGACAACATGTTTTACATTGCTTTAACTCATCAAAATAAGTTAAGCAGTTTTCAACTTTTCAAGTCAGTCTACAAAAAGTTAGTCTACAAGATTCAACTCATTTTTAAGTCAGTTTAATGTAAGTTAAGTTTAAATTACTTAAACACCCAAGAAGTTGATTGAACTTAAATTTAAGGCAGCAACTTTTCCTTTTTTTTTTTTTTTTTTTTTTTTACAGTGTAGGCTAATAGATATTCTGTACTTTTTTAAAAAATGTTTGGAAATATTAATCAAATTTGCCCTATAATAGTGGCCCCAGTCAGGTCAATCCTAATGTTATTGTCTTCTATTCAAACTTCTGTTTGATTTGGCAGCAAATAGTTATGTCTAATATGTCTGTTTGTCATCCAAACATTTTCAATGTCATTTCATTTATACTCCATTATGTAGAAATGTAATAAAGAACTGAATTAAGTCAGCGCAATTGTCATCCTCACCCCTCAGTTGTCAATTATAAAGACCTCTTTTTGAGAAAACTGCTTCTTTGATTTTGTCACATGTTGCCATGGTAAGTATCTGACTAAACTCAAGAGTGTTTGTAGCCTGACGTCTCATTTAACCTGTCCTGACACCTTCCTATTCTTTCTGGAGCCAGGACTAATCACAGCCCACAAGATGGATGGATGAATAGATGAATACATGGATTAGAGGATAAAGGTGCTTCCCATTCTCTTCCATGTGAATGAGTCTAAACAAAAAGAGGTTCTTTCCTCTTCATTAAGTTAATGGATGTACGGCTGATGTACCCGAGTACTAGCAAGTAAGACGTGCAGAGATTTCAGAGCCTGAGGGGCTGGATCAACTTCCACAAACATGGACACATCGGCTCCTTCCCTGTTTGTCTTTGGTCTTATGTGACATCTCTTTATTACTGCTAGATGCAGTTGGCGCAACAGAGACAGCCCCTTGTGTTTTAGGTGGGGTTGGCATTGCCGTTTCTAATAAATTACAGATTTGTGCAAGATCAGCGTCAGAGGTTCTTCAGGGCTACAAGTGCAAGTGAGATTTCTGGAGAGTTCTGCTGTGCTGCATCTGCTGTCCAGGTATCTTTGACCTTGCTGAACCTAAGACAAATAGAAGTAGGATAAGTGAGGTTTATGTTTTAGAAATACTTTTATTTTATTCATTACTGTGATTTAGGCACCTGTTTTATCCACTGAGATCCACAATCACTGGAAACACAATGGCTCCTCTGAGGTCTGGAGCACAGGGGTGAGAAACTTACAAAGCACTTTATTTATTATTATTATTATTATTATTTTTTTTTACAGATATTTGGAAACATTATTTTGGTTTATCTTATCATAGTTTTAAAAATGTAATATTTTTAGGACTGATTTTCAAGGGTAAAATAGTAATACACCACACTGTAAAAAGTGATCAGTTGACAAAAAAAATTATTGAGTAAATAAACTTCATGCGTAATTGAAAAGATTAAGTTATGTGGAATTGTCAACAGGTTGTCAACTGATCACTTTTTATAGTGCACCTTCAGTATCACATGATCCTTCAGAAATCATTCTAATATGCTGATTTGGTGTTTAAGAAACATTTATTACTATTATCAATGTTGATAACAATTGTGCTGCTTAATATTTTTGTGGAACCATATTTTCGTAGGCCTATATTTCTTTCAGGATTCTTTAATGAATAGAAAGTTCAAAATAACAATCATTTGAAATAGACATCTTTAATATTATAACATTATTACTGTCACCTTTGATCAATGAAAGTATTAATTTCTTTAAATAAACATTTGAATGACAGTGTACATGTTGAATGTAATGTGTAATGTGACCTTCATATAAATAAAAGAAAAACGGTTCTGCTTTCATGGATCATTACAACTCAAATAATTCATAGCTCTAATTATAAACTGCATGTGTTACATTAATCAAGAGTAATTACTTGATGCTTTTTAGGAAGATATTCACCAATAGAATATTTAACACTGAATCATTCTTCTGAGACACATGACCTCATTAACATGAACTCTTATGTTATGTATGTGTGTGTGATAGATTGTCTCCTGTGACCCTGTGCTGTGTGACACTGGCTGTTTGGCTGTGCTGTGGAGCTCATACTGAGGCTTCTGTGCTCAACGTGAAGCGTTTCATCGGCTGCGCAGTTCGAGAATTTACCTTTCTGGCCCGTAAGCCGGGATGCGGTGGGCTGCACATCTCCACTGACGCCTGCTGGGGACGCTGTGAGACCTGGGAAGTAAGACTATGAACAGCATTTACTAAAGCCAGAGAGAAGAGCTCTTGCGACACACACCTGCAACTTAATCAAGATGATATAAAACTAACTGTCACGGAGAAAATACTTTATAACAAGGATTGTAATGCATTGAAATGACTTAACAGGGTTTTAAAATAGATCAAATTAAAACCCCAGATATATTAGAATATCAAAAAATAATAGATTAGGTGATTTTGCTTTTAATCAGGTTGAAGCAGCCAACAGGGTTTGAAAACAATTGATTATATATTAGAAAGATTATTTTATATTAGTTATATTAGAGTTTGCATTTGCATTATTTATTGTTTGTAATTGTGTTTAATTTTTACACACAGAGTGGTTGAAGGCACTTTTTGAGACCAGAACTCAGCTTGACCCAAATAATCACTTTCTGAAAAAGAAAAAAATTGAGCAGCTTTTCCTTTAGTGCTCTTAAGAGAGAAGTGGGGAAAATGGTAGCAATATTTGCTCAGTCAGGCCTGGCATTATTTTTTTTACTGTTGTTTTTATTGTTTTACAATGTTTTTCAATGTATTTTTTTGTGGTGTTAATAATGTTCATAATAATGAATGTTATAAATAATTTTACAATTTTACGTTTTACATAGTACCATAATTGTATGTATTATGTAGAAATACTACTAGTATTATTACTGCTGTACTCTATAATTATTATAATTTATTGTCATCTTACAGACAATTTATTGTCTATGAGTACAGCACCATACACTGTAAAAAATGTGCTAGCGTCAAAATCAACTACTTTTAACTCAAAAATATAATTTAATAAAGCTGAATCAACCTGACAACATTAGAGCACTCCAGTTTTAAGGATGAGATCAGGACTGCACAGTTTCACTTTTAAAGAAAAAAAAGTGCCTTCAGAGACAAATTTCTATTTCAGTTAATGGCGTTTTGAATTGGAACAGACATTTGGGACATTATTTAAATTTGAAAGATTAGTAAATTGTTAAATATGCTTTTAAGTGTAAAAAATAAACCAGTGCACAAATGAAAAGTCCTCATTATGCCATGAGTCTGACACACCCTCTCCTCACCTGTCAATCACTGCAGAAGCCTGTCCTGGACCCGCCCTTCATCGAGTCGCATCAGCGCGTGTGCACCTATAACGAGACCCGGTTAGAGACGGTGCAGCTCCCCAACTGCTCAGCAGACGTGGACCCGTCCTACACCTATCCAGTGGCCCTGCGGTGTGACTGTGGGGTGTGTCTCACCAGCACCACTGAATGCATCACCTCTGTCTGATATGCAGGAGAAACCAGCCATTACGTTATGGTTGAAACACCAAAGGCCATGTGCACTGCAGGAATAACATCTTACCTTCAAATGGTCCCTGTATGCTTTTTTTCCTCGTCCTCTTTTTATGACCTATCCTCCTCCTTTTTCTGAAAAGAGCAAGATGATGTTAATAAAATTAAACTGCAAACACCACACCCGCGATCTTCTGTCATAAACTGAAAAACAAGGATCTTGTAGCGGCAGGACATAAGCCATTAAATTACGTAATATTATAAGCTTCATCTTATTCTTTTAATTAACACACAAAAAAAACATAACCCCTACAAATCCACTTACACTATTGATCAAAAAAAACAAACATTTATTAATTTTTTCAGCAAGAACACATTAAATGTTGTGTTGTGTAAATGTAACCCAAGGGGAACTTTCCTTGTGGAAATTGTAATTATTGTGAGAATATGGCTAAAACTGTTTTCAGTAATAAAACTTACACTGTTAACAGTTTCATAAATTGCAATACTACCCACGTTGTCTATCGATTAGAGTGTACTTGTGGCTGTTTTTACGTAGGCCTCACCAAAAGGAGATTAAGAGACAGGGTAGCTGAGCATAGGTATGCCATCCGGACTGCAAATATGAATTATCACATTATATAGACGCTAAACAAGAAAGGGATTCGACCTTACGAGTAGTGGGCATTGAGGCTATTCGACTTGATGCCAGAGGTGGGGATATAATCAAACGCCTTAAACAAAGGGATACATATGGGATCTATTCCTTGAGGGCCACTAGTCATCCAGGTCTCGATGAAGATTTTGACCTTTCACCTTTTTTTGTAATTGTTGTGTCTTAATAGGAACAGTGTATTGCTGTTCGTGAATTTTTACTAGTCTTTCAATGCAATGCCCAGTTCTTGTTAATGTTGTTTTAGAACCATCTTGACTATGAAATTAAAATTATGATGGGTAACTAGTAGCCTGGGAAAACCCAGACAACTTCCGACAAATTTAGATTTGCTCTGAAAGTTAGTCTGGCAAAGAGCTCATTCAAGCCCATTTCCAATCCGTCGAAATCGAGGCACCAATCAGAAACGTTGGGGCGGGCTTTACACGATGACGACAGCGCTGGGATTTTGAAGCAGATTTTGTAGCCTACGTTACAAAGATGGATTCCGCCGTCGAACATCACTCGTTCGAATCAGCTATCGCGTCTGTTTTAAGCGATTTGAACGTTTCCTTTTTGTTAAAAAACGAGCAAACAACAACACTCGGAGATGTTTCTCCGCCGCTCTGCATACGTCATCTCCTTCATCGCTCTGATTGGTTTTAGGCTAGATGTCTTACGGCGGAGTCTCTGTCGTCATCACCGGCGGCCATCTTGTCACAGGCTAGCTTTCTGGCGGGCTCTGTGGTACCGATGTATGGTGAGAACACAAATACTCTTATCTTGCTGAAATCTTGACGGATTTTCAAACGGTTTGGTTTCTTACAAACGTTATTAACGTGGCTAGATAATTCTGGTTGATTATTTATTTATACACTTATTTTTCATAAGTGTGCAGTGTCATAACTACATCTCTGACATTTATAACAAACCAAACCGTTTGAAAATCGGTAGAAAATTGGGCAAGTTATGGTTATTTAAAAAGTACATGCACCATTAACACAATGTTACGAGTGAGCGAGCTGCCTGTGACAAGATGGCTGCCAGGTGCTGACGTCGACCTCCATTGGCCAGCAGCGCAGACGAGACATCTAGCCTTTGTTATGGATATCTATGGTTTTAGGTCTATCCGCGACGTCCGTTGGTGACGCCCCTCTGGAAAGGATTTGTCTATGACGCTTTGCCAGACCATAACTCAGTTACAACTGAGAATGGTCTGGTTTTAACCAGGCTAGGTAACTAGCCTATTCACATTTACTGACTTTTGGTACATATTGGGTGGAGTACACTAGATGTTTGTAGTAGTGTCACTCCTATTTTTCCACTTGGAGATCTCTTATTTTGCCTTGTACTTGTATGATTTAGGCCTTGTCCACACAGACACGGGTATTTTTATAACCGTGACTTTTTTTTACGCGGTTTGGCCGTTCGTCCACACCAAACCGAACATTTTTGAAAACCCCTGCCAGGGTGAGGATTTTCAGAAACGCCGGTTACAGTGTTGTCGTGTAGACAGTAAAACCGGGGTTTTTGCCTTGCGACGTCAGAGTGTGCGCCGTTATCCGCCTACCGGAACCGGTAATAACTTTTTGTTAGGCTTCTGATTGGCCAACGTGGCTTTACGGTTAGGGTTATATCGCCACCTGCTGGTGTGGCATGCTCTTGTCTTGACAACGCTTGATAGCGTGTTTTTGCGTTTTCATGTAGACGGAGATTTTTTTTTAAACCAAGCATGTGTGGATGGGATTTTTTTTTAAACGCAGGAGGAAAAACTCGTGTGGACAAGGCCTTAAACTCTGGCATTAGACATGACCTGAACTATTGCCTCTAGTGGCCAAAAAATTGTGTTGCAAGTGCCAGAGTGGCACACCTGAAACCAATGCAACTATAAGTATTGCTTGATTCTGTCTGTTTGTTACGAACACCAGTGGGCCGATACGTGTTGGTGTTTTAATGTTTTAGCCCTCGACAAAATAATAAAGGCTTTTTAACTTTTGTAACCTACTGAGGGCCTGGACTTGGATTTTTTCCGATCTTATTTATGAACACATTAAATGTTGTTCTTCAGAGCTTTCTATCAATCAATAAAATTCAGGAAAAAAATTATAATAAAAATGAATGTTTCTTGAGCAAATCATCATTATAAGAATGATTTCTGAAGGATCATGTGACACTGAATACCGGAGTAATGTTGCTGAAAATTCAGCATTTCACAGGAATAAATTATCTTAAAGGTGATTTAAAGAACATATAATCAAATGGCTGCACATGCAAGCTGGGTAACAGCTGGGTAAAGCTGGGTTTTTTTTTGCTTTGTTTATTTTTCCAGGAGATTTGTTATATGTTTGTTCCAAAGGGTAGATGCAAAAGTCTTGTGACTATGACACGTCCATATGTGTGTGTGAGTGCTAAAGAAAGTCTTGTGGATCTCATGGATGTATCATTAGGGGTCCAACCACCTGTTCAATGCTGCTCTCATCTGAATCACTGATTCATCTCTGACAGTCATTCACAGTCATATACTGTATTATATATACCGTACCACCTGCTCTGGCTCTTCCTTCTCAGGCCAACAGGTAAACTTTTTGTGTATTTACTTTGTTCATATACTTAATCCATTCCTGCATCTGCATCTATGCTGTTTCATGTGCTGATCACACACATATGAAAACATGAGATTGAGAATAAATAATATTCTCACCATCAGCATCCTGCAGCACTGACGACTGATATCTCAGAAAGCTGTATTACTGTGAGTTCACATGTCCCAGCAGTTCCTGCAAGATAAATTATTTAAAAACTCACTAATGTGAAAATGATGAGAAAACATTTTCCTCTCCTATTCTGGCATCATATTGAGCAGCAGACGCTTATGATTATTATTTACCTTTTCCATTATATACGTTCTGGTGTGTAACGCATCAGAGGTCAAATTCAGCAGTTTTGTACTGGAAATTACATTTAGGGCCAACAGTTTAATATAGTTTCATTAAGATCCACAATTACAAATGTGTGCAGGTTAGTTTAATTGATTTTGATAGGGTAAATGTGGTGGTTCCTTCACAAGAGTGGGACAAAAATGCTATTTCATTAAAACAAAAACAAAAATTACTTAAATTGATAGTTCTGGTCCGTTTCTGATCAATCAATCAATCTAAAATAAAAATAAAATTTTATTTAATAAATTAACCCCCATCCTTCCCTCGGGTCATTTTCACCCAAAACTCGTTTAAAATAAAATAAAATAAAATTGAGTGTTCATTAGAGGAGTCCAAGACCCTACGACTTTTGTCGCACTTGAACCGAGAATACACTTTTTTTTTTTTTTAAGTTTTGTGGTTGAAATTTTAAAAAGTAACGAATCCTTCACTCGCGGGTCAATTTGACCCCCTTAGGAATGGAATGCGAGGAATGCTTCAGTACACATAGAAAAACCTAAAAATGCTCAAAATTCAAACTAGAACATGCTAAAACTTTACCAAAAAATTATTTTATAATGTCTACATGTGTATCTGAATGCATACCAAAGAAAAACTGACTTTAGGACCCAGTGGAACAGCTAATTGCGCCATATAGAGCTATAAGGCCATCTAGTGGCAAGAGTCATGAAATATCATGTTATATAATTTTTTTCCCAATAGAGGTCGGCAAAGACACCAAATGTAAGATATTTTGAGCTGAATTAAAAGGGTTATGCATGAAATTGAGTTATTTTTATTTAAGTTGAAACAATGTGAGGAATGTGTTTAAATGACTATTATTTTATTTTTTTATTGATCAAATCTAGTAATTTAAAGTAAAATAAAATATAAAAATTTAAACAAATCCTAAATAATTTTAGGGCTTTGGGTCATTTTGACCCACGAGGGAAATATATGTTACAAAGTGCGAGGGAAGGATGAAGGATAAATGCAATTTCACATCTTTTGATGCTTCATTTCTCAAGATATTGCAGACTACTAACCAGCAAAATTGCTTTCAACATTGATAATAATGAGAAAAGTTTCTTGTACATCAAATCAGCACATATGATTTCTGAAGGATCATGTGACACCGAAGATTTGAGTAATAGTGCTGAAAATTCAGTTTTTCCATAACAGGAATACATTTCCTTTTAATAAGTAAATAAATATATTTCACAATGTTGCTATTTTTTACTGTATTTTTGATCAAATAAATGCAGGCTTGGTGAGCATAAGAGACTTGAATGGAAGTGTATTTCCATATAAAGTATCACATTAAGGTAAATGTTCAGGTAAATGTAGTTTTTTCTTCACAAGAGTGAGACAAAAATGCAGACTACTACTATTCAATTTTTATCCACCGAGTTGTATTTTGTAAAATAAGAGAAGCTAAAAGCTAATTCTTAACTTTTGGTCAGGAAATATAAAATATTTTCAGTTATTTTAACTTGTAATTACAATATACCATTTTTCCCTTTTTTAAGTCCCTGGCAAAAACCGTGTGTGGGGGTACAAGAGGGGGCCTCCAAAGAGACGGGTGCCCCGGGGCCTGGTAGGACCATAATCCA